TTTTTTTTTTTTTTTTTTTGAGACGGAGTTTCGCTCTTGTTGCCCAGGCTGGAGTGCAATGGCACGATCTCGGCTCACCGCAACCTCCGCCTCCTGGGTTCAGGCAATTCTCCTGCCTCAGCCTCCTGAGTAGCTGGGATTACAGGCACGCGCCACCATGCCCAGCTAATTTTTTGTATTTTTAGTAGAGACGGGGTTTCACCATGTTCACCAGGATGGTCTCGATCTCCTGACCTCATGATCCACCCGCCTCGGCCTCCCAAAGTGCTGGGATTATAGGCTTGAGCCACCGCGCCCGGCTGGACATTTTTATTTTTAGCCCCTTTCCTGTGTAGAAAAATAAAAATGTGACTTCCTGCTGGCGTTCATTTAATTTTACATGAACATGCTCTCTGAGGCATGTTGGACACGGTGCTCGGTGCCTCAAAGAACAATCAGCACTGAGACAAAGGATCTTTCAGCAACATGACTTTTACTTCCTGGGCTGCAGGGAGGGGACCCTCACCAGCCATCTTGCCGCAGATTACAATGAACAAATGTACCCCTTACTCATTTGGGGTCATCCCTACCGCTGTGTCTGATTTTCATTGGTGGGAGCCAGACCCCACCATCTAAACTAAAACCCCATTGGCTAATAACATAAAACTTTTCTTAGACAGGTAAAGGCAGCGGAGAGCTGGGACACACCTGTGAGCACGTGCAGCACAGATACCGTGGTGAAAATACAAGGACATAGAAGGTGCCACGTGCCTGCAATCGTGGCATGTTAACAGCTACATAGGGTAGGGCTTCACAAAGTTATTAGCACATTTATTCCTCAACAGGAAAGGAAACTTTAAAAAGGAACTTTTCTACTTCCCACAAGGCTGAAGAAAATCGGACTGATTTTCAACGTGAAAATAAAATATAACAACTGTTCTTGGAGTTATTTCTTTCTTCTTTCTTTTTTTTTTTTTTTATTGGAGTTATTTCGACACAGACCTAATGCCAGGATCATCTGAATCATCAGAATCATTATTTTGGAAAAACTAGAGTCATGAGATGAATCTCCCGGCAACATTAATATCTCCTGTAGGAATGTGGTGATCTTGGATTTGGCATTTTGGGCAACCGAGAATGACGATATTTTGTCAATGGAAACACCGCTACTAAAAACAGGATGCCATAGACAGAACGTTGTCTTTTCTTTCCAAAGCTGATATACGAGGGTGTTGTAGAAATAACAGTAAGAGCAAGACGTTTCGTGGCAAAGGTATCTCAGGGTAAACGCTGCAGGCGCACAGGCTGGGGCGAGTATCTGGGGCGGGCAGGAGGGGGTTACGCACAGAGCGGGCATCGACGTGTCTTCTCCACAGAGCGTGCATCGACGTGTCTTCTCTGTTTTTCCATGCAGCTTTGGGTTCTTTATCCCTTGATTGTTTTGATTTTGGGGACGGTTTCACTCTGTTACCTGGGCTGGAGTGCAGTGGCGCCATCACAGCTCACTACAGCCTGGAAACTTCCAGCCTCCAGCGAGACTCCAACCTCGGCCTCCCGCTGGGATTACTGGCATCCGCTCCCACACCTGGCCCATTCCAACTTCCATAACCCGACCAACCCTTACACTTCTATGTTCTGGTCCCCAGAAACTCTCTTTTCCAACCCCAGACGGTCTTACCCTCCCCCGGGAAAAAGGCTTTGGGTTCCCAGCAGGGGACTGGGTAGAGGGACTCAGGCCCTTCAGTGTTGAGGACCGGGCAGAGCTCCCTTCGGCCAGCCCACCTCTCCTTAAGCAGACTTCCCCTTAGTCCAGTGAGAGATGGGGCTCTTGTCCCACAGCCATAAAAATTCAGGCTCACAGACAATTTGAATAGTGGGTAAGACAGGGTTTTACCGGGTGAAAAGGAAGGACGCTCTCCAGGACAGAGTCCCTGCTAGAATGCCCTCCACCCCCACAAAGGGCCCAAACTTCCCAAGGCTCCACCTCAGTGGGCACGCTGGCTGCAGTTTCCAGGGACCCTCTCCCAGGGGGCTGTCTCATTCTCTCCTCCATGGAAGTCCATCTAACTGTGGGAACCAAGAGAAGGACAAAGACCGATCTTAACTGCTTCCTGCTGACGGGGTGTGGGGGTCACTGTTTTGGGGAAACAGCAGCCAGAGCTTTTCTAGAGGCTGATCTAAGGGTTCCTGGCAGAAGGGGCCATTGTCAGAGGCTCCAGGGCATGACTGTTTGGAGTCTGGAGGCCTCAAGACAAGAGCAGACGGGTTATTAGAAAACATATATCAAAAGAGAACCAGGGGACGGGGAAGGCCAGCTCAGCACTTCCAAGGCCTTCTACCGGTTTGCCTGGGAGAGGTAGGCTGAAGCACAGCTGGTAAGAAACGTGACCCGTTTGCCGGCACGGCGGGCTTCTCGGTTCCCTTCCCCTGATCCCCGTCCTAAGCCAACCAGCTTAAGGTCTGGGAAACTCTTCTGGGTTTGGAGGATGCATCTGAGAGGATCATCCCACAGGATGAAGACACAGTTACCTGTGAGTGAAGAGAACCGAGGAGGGGAGAGGAGAAAAGAAAGTGCTTTTTCTTTTTCTTTTTTTTTTTTTTTTTTTTGAGACGGAGTTTCGCTCTTGTTACCCAGACTGGAGTGCAATGGTGCGATCTCGGCTCACCGCAACCTCCATCTCCTGGGTTCAGGCAATTCTCCTGCCTCAGCCTCCCGAGTAGCTGGGATTACAGGCACACGCCACCATGCCCAGCTAATTTTTGTATTTTTAGTAGAGACGGGGTTTCACCATGTTGACCAGGATAGTCTCGATCTCTTGACCTCATGATCTACCCCCCTCGGCCTCCCAAAGTGCTAGGATTGTAGGCATGAACCACTGTGCCTGGCCCTTTTGTTGTTGTTGTTGTTGTTAATCAATGAGAGCTTGTTATGTTGCTCAGGTTGGCCTTGAACTCATAGCCTTGCCTCCTCAAGCACCAGGACAACTGGCCGGAGCCACCACAGCTCCCAGAAGGTGCTTTTTCAAAGCAGTCCCAGGAGTCCAGGAAGCATTCAACCAGGGCACAGGCTGAAGACGAATGGCTGCCCATCTAGAGAGAGAGGAGAGGACATTGCTGGCTCCTCTTCACAGCACACAGCCGGGTAAGTGAGGGAAGGAAGGAGGAGCACCCTCTTTCCCTCTTTCATCCTTGTATTCCCGAGTCCCAGTGAGCTTGGCAGGTGCCATGAATACCAAAAGCGGCTTGCACCCGTGCAGCAGGGGGGCCTAGAGGACAGGAACTGGCCGCTCTCACCTGTCTCTTTCCCACCTCCCGTCACTAGCCTTGAATTCCCCAGACCTCATTGGTGTCATGGATAGTACCATGGCCTTTATCCACGAAACGGGAAGCTTGGGCTGGGCTTGATCGAGAGGAATCAGCCACACTCGCCTCTGCTGTGCCTTTTAACTTCCTGTGCCCCTGGATCTCTCAGATCCAGTTTTCTCTCCTAGGGCTTTGACCTAAAGCTTGGAATTGAGTCTGGGACAAAAAAAAATGCCTCTCAGAGGGCGCTGCAGGGACTCCTTATCATAAGGTAAATGCTGAGGTGAAACTGTGGAACTGAGTCCTTCTCCAACCAGAGAGAGAAAGGGTGCCTAGTGACACCAGGTGAGCGGTGGCTGTGGTCGAGTTCACCAGGATCTGGGTGCCTGGTGACACCAGGTTAGCGGGGGCTGTGGTCGCGCTCACCAGGATCTGGGTGCCTAGTGACACCAGGTGAGCGGTGGCTGTGGTCGCACTCACCAGGATCTGGGTGCCTGGTGACACCAGGTTAGCGGTGGCTGTGGTCGCGCTCACCAGGATCTGGGTGCCTGGTGACACCAGGTTAGCGGGGGCTGTGGTCGTGCTCACCAGGATCTGGGTGCCTCGTGACACCCAGGTTAGCGGTGGCTGTGGTAGTGCTCACCAGGATTTGGGTGCATGGGACTTGGCCTTTGTCAGCTCCCTTGGTGTTACTTTCCCAAAAGGAAACCTCTGGGTCATGGGCGCCCTATTCATCCCCATCGCCTGGTAGGATCCGCAGAATAACTGCTCAGAACTAGAATATTGATCATTTTCACATTACCCAGCCCTTTTGTTCCTTTTGAGCTACAGCGGGAAGGTTCTCGGGAACAAGAAGATTAGCCTACAATGTAGCCAAAGATTACGAGGCAGCTGTGAGTTCAGAATTGGATGCCGAACGTTTGATAGGTGGTAAGTTTTTAAACATGATTTCTCTCTGTCTCTCTCCAGTCCCCACTTTGGATAAAAAATCACATAGGACTGCATGGTTTGCACTATAGACCTCACTGTTATACTTGGCCTGATTCCATCAAATACGGCAAGAATCATTATTCTACATGCGCCATTTGGATTGGCTTCCATGAAAGTTCATTCCGCAAGGACTCTCAGATACGCCCTTTTAACATCGAGCCCAACATGAGTTTGTACCTCAAACACCCGAAAGGTGGGTGATTCCGTCCTCTTACGGTCCCCTAAGAAACTTGGAGCTCCTGGACCTGTTAGAGAGTGACATTCTTTGCTGACCGCAGCTCAGGAGGCCTGGACAGGGACTGTGTAGATGAAGGGCCTAAGGTCAGTGTCCCCACTGGACTTTTACCGGCTCTGAGTTGAAACTGACTCCAGAAGAATCTGCTTCCAGTCAAAGCCTTGGTAAAACAGCCACTTTCTTTTTCTTTTCTTTTCTTTGTTTTTTTTTTTTTTTTTTTGAGACGGAGTTTCACTCTTTTTGTTGCCCAGGCTGGAGTGCAATGATGTGATCTTAGCTCACTGCAACCTCCGCCTCCTGGGTTCAAGGGATTCTCTGCCTCAGCCTCCTGAGTAGCTGGGATTACAGGCCTGCACCACCACGCCCGGCTAATTTTGTATTGTTAGTAGAGACGGGGTTTCTCCATGTTGGTCAGGCTGATCTCGAACTCCCCACCTCAGGTGATCCACCTGCCTCAGCCTCCCAAAGTTCTGGGATTACAGGCGTGAGCCACCGCGCCCGGCCACAACCATGTTCTCCAAGTGCGTCCTGTTGAGAAACAACGGTGGAATCTCATGGCACTGAGGCAGATGATTGTGTTGCCATAAGAATCCTCACAGCGGGCTCGCTTGGTTCCCTTAGTCCCGAGTGCTCACCCACTGCAGCTTCCTTTCCCGTGCAGACATGGCTTCAAGCACCACCACCACTGTCGTGAAGATTGGAATAATTGGTGGAACAGGCCTGGATGATCCAGAAATTTTAGAAGGAAGAACTGAAAAATATGTGGATACTCCATTTGGCAAGCCATCTGATGCCTTAATTTTGGGGAAGATAAACGTTGATTGCGTCCTCCTTGCAAGGCATGGGAGGCAGCACACCATCATGCCTTCAAAAGTCAACTACCAGGCAAACATCTGGGCTTTGAAGGAAGAGGGATGTACACATGTCATAGTGACCACAGCTTGTGGCTCTTTGAGGGAGGAGATTCAGCCCGGCGATATTGTCATTATTGATCAGTTCATTGACAGGACCACTATGAGACCACAGTCCTTCTATGATGGAAGTCATTCTTGTGCCAGAGGAGTGTGCCATATTCCAATGGCCGAGCCGTTTTGCCCCAAAACGAGAGAGGTTCTTATAGAGACTGCTAAGAAGCTAGGACTCCGGTGCCACTCAAAGGGGACAATGGCCACAATTGAGGGACCTCGTTTTAGCTCCCGGGCAGAAAGCTTCATGCTCCGCACCTGGGGGGCAGATGTTATCAACATGACTACAGTTCCGGAGGTGGTTCTTGCTAAGGAGGCTGGAATTTGTTATGCAAGTATCGCCATGGCGACAGATTATGACTGCTGGAAGGAGCATGAGGAAGCAGTTTTGGTGGACCGGGTCTTAAAGACTCTGAAAGAAAATGCTAATAAAACCAAAAGTTTACTGCTCACTACCATACCTCAGATAGGGTCCATGGAATGGTCAGAAACCCTCCATAGCCTGAAGAATATGGCCCAGTTTTCTGTTTTATTACCAAGACATTAAAGTAGCATGACTGCCCAGGAGAAAAGAAGACATTCTAACTTCAGTCCTTTTGGGAATTCCTGCTTAACTTGAAAAAAATATGGGAAAGACAAGACATTATGTGTATTAGAGACTCCTAAATGACTTGGACAACTTCAAAATACAGAAGAAAAGCAAATGACCAGTAAACATGGGAAAAAAATTTTACATTTTAGGAAAAACAAAACAAAAAACACACCATTTTCTTCTCCCCACTCTTAAATTCGCAACGATGAAGGGTAGAGGGTAATCTCTATTTTCCTATCCTGCCAAAGAATATGAGGAAGAAATGGGACTTTTTGGTTATTTAGTGATGCGACTGTAAATTGGTACATTATTTCTAGAAAGCAATTTGGTAAAATGCATCAAAAGGCTTAAAAATACTGGCATACTTTGTGCTGGGAACTCTACATCTAGGAATTTCTCTTTAAAACCGTATCAGAGATACAAACAATTATGTATAAAGAAGCGTGTTTAATAATGATAGTGATAAAAGCAAATAATTAAAACAATCTGAATACCAAGCAACTGGAGATAAATTATGTCTTAGTTATAATTAGATTGTGAATCAGCCAACTGAAAATCCTTTTTGAATATTTTACTATCCTAAAAAGATATGGTTGCTCTATATATGAAATGAAAAAATGGATATGGTAGCATTTTATAGTACTAGTTTTGCTTTAAAATGCTGTATATATATATATATGCAAAAAAAAAACCTCAAAAGAAATATATATAAAACCTTGTTATTGTATTTGGGGGAGGGATACTGGGATAGTTTTTATTTTCTTTGACTCTTTCTGTGTCTTCACATTTTTCTACAATGAATATAGTCAAATAGTAAAGTTGTTGTAAAAATAAAAATGGATTTAGGAAAAAAAAAAAAAAAGAATCCTCACAGCTTCCAAATTCTGTGGGTAACATCCCCAGGGGCACCAAGGAAGGAGAACTGTGCAGACCCCGGCACAATGAGTGCTTGAAACATAACTCACTGCTTATTATATCTAGCTTGTATATATATATATATACAATCATACTTAGTTCCATATACTCTTTCTATATAATCATACAGGTATTGCAGTCGGAGCTGTACCGACACATTCAGTGCTGATTTATATAATCCTCCCATATAACCACATAGTACTTCATAGCAGGAGGAATGCCTAGAGCAGTCACAGAACAGAAGCAGACATGGGAAAACAGCCAGACCAGGACGAGAACCAAAGGCCCCGGCGGTGGCGTCCCTGCCTGAAAGGGCACACGCTGTATGGCAGGCCTGGAGCAGGAGCCTCCCCTCCTGATAGAGGAGCTGTGGCACCTGCATCCAGTTCCTGTGGAAAGTCGGCCTCAGGCCTGAGATCCTGGAAGTAACCGAGGGAGAAGAACCCTCTGGTGTGACCAGTCACGGCGGCTGTTCACCCTGTCGGTCTTTTCTCACTTCTGTGCTAGCTCAAATCATCATCCTGTAAAATATCTTAGAGAAGAGCACAAGTCTGTCAGCTCCCACCGCAATGGCGTACAGTATCCTTCTATTAGAAACCCTTTGAAGGCTCCAGCCCCAGGTAAGAAGTGTTGTGCATGACGCCTGTTTCACACGGCCCACCTCCTTGCCTCAGTGACCTAATGGGTGGACCCCTTTTCTGTACACGACCCTCTACTACTGAGCATGGCACAGTCCCCTACTGTGCACGGCCCACCTCTCTGCCCAGGTGACATAATGGGGTGGCCCCTCACTTGTGACTCACATGATTATGTATACCCAATTACTAAGCCTATAGATGATCTTGCTTATGACCCTGCCCCATGCTTGTACCTAATAAATACAGACACTTCTGGGCATTTGGGGCCTCGCCTGTCCCCGCTCACAGGTGGCGTGGCCCCCGAGTCCAGCTGCTCTTCCCCAGTTCTTCAGTGTCCTGTCTCTCTACTTCTTGGATCCTGCACCTCAGCACAGCATAAGGGACACCCCACAACCCTGTGGGGCCAACAGCCCCAATCTGGCACCCAACGTGGGGAACCAGATGGAGAGAAACAAATACGCTCCAAATTTTTTAAAAGTCCGTACATCATTCAAAGTAAGTTTCCTTGACTCTGAAAAACAAAACCAGGATCAGCAACATTCCAACAAAAGTTGAAAAGGTGGCTTCAGCGTTCTCAATTCTGTCCATCTAATAACTCTGGCATTTGTGAACATGTCAGCTCCTCATGAGTTCTGTATATTTTTCTTTATTCTAATGTTACAATCTCCAAAGTTACCAGAAGCCCACATTTGAGGGCACCTGTTAAGCTCCTATAGCTTATTGCAAACCATGTTTTGAAAAGGATTAAAACCCCATGTCTACTAAAAAAAAATACAAAAAATTAGATGGGCGTGGTGACGCACGCCTGTAGTCCCAGCTACTCAGGAGGCTGAGGCAGGAGAATTGCCTGAACCCAGGAGGCGGAGATTGCGGTGAGCCGAGATCGCGCCATTGCACTCCAGCCTGGGTAGCAAGAGCGAGACTCCGTCTCAAAAAAAAAAAAAAAAAAATTCCACAGTTTTTCCACCACGACTTTGAACCTTAGCTTTTCCCTAATTTAATGAAAAAAAAAAAGAAAAAGAAAACAAATCCTTCAATCCAAGGCAAAAGCTTACATTTCCACACCTTCTTATAACCTTTTCCTAAAAGACACATTTTTACCATTCCGACACACCTGGCATGTAAATCTATCTCTAGTAGTTTCAATTAGCTCCTGGTAATTTTTAACTTTGAGGTAAAGCCTGAGAGTCATTTCTAATCGTGTGCTCCGTGCGGCCAAGATCTGTGGTCTTAGTTAAGGGTGTATTCGTTCCATATGTCTCCAGGCCTTACCGGTTGTGAACCCAGCAACTCCAGTCGTTCTCGAAACCCAAGAAGCAGTTTGTAACCTCAAAAGACTCAGCAAATCTTGCATCTTACCATAGTTTTTCGGATTGTTTTATTTATTTATTTTTTGGGACAGAGTCTCGCTCTATCACCCAGGCTGGAGTGCAGAGGTGCAATCTCTGCTCACTGCAACCTCTGCTTCCTGGGTTCAAGCGATTCTCCTGCTTCAGCCTCCTGAGTAGCTGGGACTACAGGCGCGCACACTCCCATCTAATTTTTAAAAATTCTTTTTAGTAGAGATCGGGTTTCACCATGTTGGCCAGGCTAGTCTTGAACTCCTGACCTCAGCCTCCCAAAGTGCTGGGATTACAGGCATGAGACACCACACCCAGCCCTGTTTTTATTTATTTTTATTTTTTTATTTTTTGGAGACGGAGTCTCCCTCTGTCACCAGGCTGGAGCACGGTGGAACAATCTCAGCTCACTGCAACCTCTGGCTCCTGGGTTCAAGTGATTCTCATGCCTCAGCCTCCTGAGTAGCCGGGACTACAGGCACATGCCACCATGCACAGCTAATTTTTGTATTTTTAGTAGAGACGGGGGTTTCACCATGCTGATCAGGATGGTCTCAATCTCTTGACTCGTGATCCACCCGCCTCAGCCTCCCAAAGTGCTGGGGTTACAGGCATGAGCCACGGCACCCGGAACCCTGTTTTTTTTTAATTGCATTTTAGGTTTTGGGGTACATGTGCAGAACATGCAAGATAGTTGCATAGGTACACACGTGGCAGTGTGTTTTGCTGCCTTCCTCCCCTTCACACACATTTGGCATTTCTCCCCAGGCTATCCCTCCCCAGCTCCCCCTCCCCGCTGTCCCTCCCCTATTCCCCCCAGTAGACCCCAGTGTGTAGTGCTCCCTTCCCTGTGTCCATGTGTTCTCATTTTTCCTCACCCGCCTATGAGTGAGAACATGAGGAACCCTGTTTTTATTTCTTAAAGTCACATGAGCTGAAAGGTACCACAGCTTTTAACTTTAAATCCTATTAGATCCCAGTGCTTGTCCTTCTTTAGGTGGTTAGAGCTCTTTTTGCAGACGCCACACTCAGTACACGAACGAACAGGCAGAAGGAAATGCAGTCACTGGGTGGGGCCTTTTAAGAGACCAGGCTGGGAAAACCCGCAGAGATCAAACCGGAAAGAAGCTTATTCCCTAAGGCCGGCTCCCTAACCAAAGCCTTGGCATGGAGTTACAAGCCAGGCCCTCGGGATGCAAAACAAGATGGAGACTTGATTTCACAACCAAATCTTTGCTGGAAATATAAACAGTGATAGTTGTAGCTGGGGCGGGCAGTGGCCTACCCTAGTAAAACATCTTCTAAAAGAAAAAAAAAAAACTTAAAAAGTGATTTGCTGGCCGGGCACAGTGGCTCATGCCTGTAATCCCAGCAGTTTGGGAGGCAGGTGGATCACCTGAGGTCGGGAGTTCAAGACCAGCCTGGCCAATATAATGAAACCCCGTTTCTACTAAAAATACAAAATTAGCCAGGCATGGTGGTGCACGCCTGTAGTCCCAGCTACTGGGAAGCTGGGGCAGGAGAATGGCTTGAACCCTCAAGGACATGGGAGCTGAGAGGCGAAAGAAAGAGGCTGACAGACCCAGTTTTTTAGAAAGAAGCAATTAGTGGGGACTTGGAAACAGAAGATGCTGCATCCCTGCTCAGCTGCCTCCCAGAGACAGGGCTGGCATTCCATAGGGAATTCACCTAAAGGCAGGATTTATGGTAAGTACATGAATCTAGAAATCTCAGAGGTGGTCCAGGAAGTCATTAATTCAATACAATTTATGTATCATATACAGCAATAATTAAAGGGCAATTATGAGCTAGGAATGGTGGTTCCTGCCTGTGGGCCCAGCTTCTCGGGAGGCTTGAGCCCAGGAGTCTGAGGCTGCAGTGAGCTGTGATCGTGCCACTGCGCTCCAGCCCGGTGACAGAGGGAGACCCCCCCGAAGCAAAAGGGGGCCATGGCAGTTATGTAGCCTAGTTATTTGTTGACATGCACCCCCCTTCCCCAGTTCTCAGGCTACAATGTCAAGATGGCAGAGACCAGACTTCCCACCAGAGCGTTAAGTAGTCCCTGGTTCCCGCTGGGTATCCAACAACTGTCAGTCACAAACCTTAGATAGAAGACGCTGTTTCTATGGTTTTCTTTTTATTTGTTTAAATAGATATGTTGCCCAGGCTGGTCTTGAACTCATGAGCTTAGGCAATCCGCCCGCCTTGGCCTCCCAAAGTGCTGGGATACCAGGTGTGGGCCACCACTCCCGGCCTCTGTGGTTATTTTCTATGTTGACTTTTGGTAAAATCTGAGAACATAACACAGATTTCCTGAGGCTGGGCGTGGTGGATCACACCTGAATCCCAGCACTTCGGGAGGCCAAGGCAGGTAGATCACCTGAAGTCAGGAGTTTAAGACCAGCCTGGCCAACATGGCGAAACCCCATCTCTGCTAAAAATACAAAAATTAGCCAGGCCTGGTGGAGCGCTTATCATCCCAGCTACTCGAGAGGCTGAGACATGAGGCTCACTTGAACCCAGGACGTGGAGGCTGCAGTGAGCCACGGTCTGCAACTGCACTCCAGCCTGGGTGACAGAGCAAGACTGTCTCAAAAATAAAAAAAAGAAAAAAGAAGATCTATTGATTCCTTAGGGATACTAGCCTTTTGTCTGTGGCATATATTTTATATACCGTACCCCAATTTATCAGCTGTCTTTTGCTTTGTATGTGGCGTTTCTGTCGTGCAAATTGTTTAAAGAATCTATTTATGTAGTCAGACATATTACTCTTCTACTTTT